TCTAGACTAATAACTATAAAAAAAAAAACAATGCATAACATTTGTTTAATCTGCGACTTGTACCCCGAGACTGAGCTCTGAATGTGAAAGCGTCACAGAAGTTGATGTTTATAGTCTGCACAAGTACAAACAAGGGCCTTCAGTTAACAATAAAACCAAATAGCAGTCAGACTGGAAGGAGTCCAGAAACGTGCAAGGACACTACCTTGAAGGGGAGATTTGTCAAATTTAAATCAGTTTTCTCTTTTGATTTTTATTGGCCTGACTTCACTTTAGTTTGTGATTTTTGATGTAATTCTCACAGGAATATGTTGTTTTTGTTGCTTAGTTGTTCTTTATTTATTCCAATACATTTTTTGTGCAAGCTAAAAACAAACAGCTTTTTAAAACAAGATTAAAGAGGAATTTTACACTAAATCCTGTTTGGATGAAACCTATTCTGCTGGCCTCTGTGGGTTGAAAAGTTCAGGTCTGTTGCGTTTGTCTTATGCTAGAGCTGTGCGCTGTGTGAGATTTGATTTTTGCATTGCACAGTAATCCAGTGTTGTAGCGTCATGGGCTAAACGAGCAAGTAAGAAAACTTATAGCACAGAAGCAGGCATGTTGAATCTTTTAAGTGCTGGACACACAATAAAAGAAATTAATGGTCAGAAAGAAATATAAGCAACTGGTTGTACCCTACCAATTGAAAGCTCCATGTAGGTTTACATCCTGAACAGTTATATTACATGGTTACATTATTGCAAACTACCAGCACAGCACCACACTAAATAGTTTAGAGATGCTCTGAGCAGTTTCGCTGTAGGAGTGCGTTTGCGTTGGTCACAGAGGGGCAGTGTTACATGTCCTGTGTGTCATCTGTTGACTCTCTATTCGCTCTCTCCTTCGACTGCCTCTCACTCTACTCCTTTGTTAAATAGGGGATTATAACATGGTAATGAGAACTGTCAGGCTGTTCCTGTGGTGATAATGGAGTTCAGAGGTGGATGACGTCTCAATCATAATGGAATTAAGGAGGGCTGAGAGAGCACTGACAGAAATACCGGGAGGATGGGGAGGAAGGGGAGAGTTTAGAAAAAGGCTAGCAGAGAAGGCAGAAAGGCCAGATGAGTGATCTGAAAAAAAGGTGTTGTTATTCAGTCTAGTTATTTTGTCAAATACATGAACACAAATGTGTAAATCCTCAGGACACCATGAAACGTGCTACAGATCCCCCCCGTGGATTTTTTTGTGTGTTTTATTTCACGTACACAAGGAGATAAATAATGTTATAAACATCATTTATCTCGAGTGAAATGGCTACAGTCACCTGCTATGAGGCTTTTCAGAGATGGCAATATTCAAAATAGTAATAGTAAAATAGTAAAAACAGTATTTGTAACAGTATTTTGTACCAAAAATCATTCCTTATCTTTCAGTAATGGTTAATCCACCTTTATGCACAAATGTTTTAATTCAAATGTTGTTTTTAATGCTAAAATATAATTATTGTTGTTATCTGTGCATTTTCACATTTGCTTTTTTATAAAAAACAAAAAAACCCATTGTACACAGGATTATTTTTTGATTAAAATGCCAAATGACTGTTATTTCCTTGTTTTCCTGGATATAAAAATAGTTTAAATGGATGGATGTCATACTTGATTAATTTCTGACTTGTCTAGATTTTGGTATAAAACATTTATTTAGTTTGTTATCTGCTTAATAAATAAATATTTGTGCTTTCTTATGACAGGTAGTCAACGCCTGTCTGATACCTATAATCACCCATCAGAGATATGATGTAAATGTCTGATCTTGTTAATATGACAGCTTGTTGTTTTTACAGAATGCATGGAAAAGATATTTGGCAGCATTTTTATAATACTACAGTACTGTTTGCAGCACATGTAGCAGACTACACACCTCAGCAGATGCTGGTACCAAGCAGTTTCTTCACAGTGAGACGATAATTACTTTATGAAATACACTGCTGGAGACAATGACCGCAAAACACAAAATAGTACCTGATTTACATGTTGATGAGAGCTGAGTTTTGACCCAGAAGCCAAACAGCTTCATTAGCCACAACCAGAAAATGGTACACTTCAGGTACAGGTACTTCAGATTTAACTTCAGGTGTATTAGCAGGAGTATGTTTGTGCACTGCCAGTTTGTCCTCCATGGTTAGACTATCTGTGCACAATTCTGTCATTTTCTGATGTATCTGAGGGAACAAATGATCTGAATGCCACGGTGAATGCCATCATGTGGCTGTTTACAGCACTTTGAAACAGACAGCTTACAGGGAGTGATCCAGTTATAGCAGGAGGAAATTGTGATGAGCTTCTTAAGAAGACTACCTAGATGGAGAAATCTGCCATATTCAGTCATGTTTTCTTTATGCTTTTTATGGGTGGAGTCATACCATTTTGATTCCACCTTGTAAAGGAACATCGCAATTGTTGACTCAAGTCGAACTGAAATCTGTATTTGAATATTTTGTTTTTATCATTTTTTCTTTATTATCTTAGAGCTCCTCATTGCTCCTCGGTGCAGTAATCCTGAATGAAGTGTTTAGGCCTTGAACATGACAAGAAACTTGAAAGAGGGATGAGTGTGTTTGTTGTCATTTGGAAAGTGGTGCTGGGTGTTAGCCAGCCTGGTATGACATTTATGTCACTCTGCTGTAACTTGGCAATATCAGAGGGGTGTCAGCTCTGTGCTCTGTTGGGCCTTTACTGCTTATGATGTGATAACACTTCACATTATGTAGAGTATATCCAGGGGGCATTTTTAAATTCTACACTGTGTAGAGACATCTCAGGAGGTACTCTTCACATAACACCCTTTTTCATACCCAACTGTAAGGATATTGTCTTCCTGTTATCAAGAGATGGAGTTGTAAAATGATTTTCTCTACCTCTAGATGTGATTGGAATATGTAAGAGTGCTGAGGATGTATCACGTATCACCACTAAGAACAGCAGAGAAGTCTCCAAGAGGGCTCTCAGCATAATCGACGAAACAGGCAAAGTCGTGACAGTCACACTGTGGGGCGAAGAGGTAATAACTGTAATCTCTCTCTCAATCTCTGTCTTTTTGTATCCATGGATTGATTTCCAATTTGACATTAAAAAGTGTTGAACACTCTTTAATTGAACGTGTTTATGTAGGTGCCCATGTATGTATGTGTGCACACAGCCATGCATGTGTAGTCACACATCTCTCTTTGGGTGCTCTCGAGTACAAAAAACCTCTGATTAGGTTTTCTGGGCTGTAAAATTTGGATCGGTCAAATCATTCCTGTGACCTTCAGGGATGTTTTGAACGAGAGTCTCCTATTTGAGACAGAAGGCTAAATAACTCTCGAATGTGCATGAAATAGCACTATTCTTCTCTAAGCTCATTCGATCTGCAAGAGCTAATCCCCTCCTCTTTGCAGAAATCCAAAAATGACTTTCAAATTAACTTGTAGGTTGTCCAATTATGAAAGCAAACCATACCAAATATTACTTTCTGGTGTCTTCAAGCTGCAGACACAGACTAAACAAGTAAGAGACAATAATACAACTGCTTTTGCAGCCTCGCATTCTGTCTCCTGAATTACTTTCTTAGACACTCTCTTTTTTTTCTTCTTTTTTTTCTTTCTCCAGGCAGAAAATTTTGATGGCTCTACACAGCCAGTGGTTGCCATCAAAGGAGCTCGATTGTCTGATTTTGGGGGAAGATCTCTCTCTGCATTGTTCAGTTCAACAGTCATGGTCAACCCAGATATACCACAGGCCTTTAGACTGAGAGCCTGGTGAGTCACTCTGATGTGCAGCCATACACCAACAATTATACACTTGCACTGATAATCACATCAAGAAGTTCTTTGTAGAAAAAAATATACCCTACTGCATTGCTCATACAAATGAAATGAAGTATGGTAAATTCCACCAGGCGTCTCACACATGAATATAAATGCAAAGCCCCAGTGATTACTTGGCTGGAGACTGGTGGCATGTGCCCCCTCAGTCCCAGCAGGACTCGAGACAGGATGTAGACAGAAGGGCGGAAGGAGGGAGCACCACAGAAACAAAGCACAGGTATTTGTGTTTTCCAGCTCCTAACTGCTTTTGTACTTGCTCACAAAGATGGGAACGTGGTGAGCAGCATCAAACTGGATTCTTATTAGCAGTTCCTGTGGAGGGATTTTGAATTATGACTCATTCACTCATTAAGGCTGTTCCCAAGTCTGGACACTGTTGAAACAAAAACACTTTTCCTTTTTCCTCCCTCTATGTGTGTGTGTTTGTGTGTATATAACAATCCTTCTGTGTGCATATGATTGCCTGTGTGCTACTCTTGAAATCTATTCGTAGGCACTAAATTGCGTCAAACAGCACTCATACCTTCAAAGTGTAAATACAGTAATTTCAGGCGTGTTCCCGAAGGCATGGTTCTGTTCACACTTTTAAATTGTTAATGACTGCATTATGAATTCTGCTAATTGTTCCATGATTGATCATTTTGGCCACTTTTACGTTATATTAGTTATGCCAGTTACTTATGTGTGCAGGAGAAAGTGAAGGGGTAGGCTGCATTGCTCTAGCTTTAATCTTGGTCTTATTGGTCTCTGGTGTTGATATTTAAAGGGCTAAATAAGTAAAAGAACAGCACCCTCCTTCCTTTCATCACTCCTTCCATTCTCCTCTAATCCGCAGCTTTTCCTCTCGATCTCAGCTGCTGTTTGGTGCTTATTCAAGTTTACATGCTGGCAGCAGTCAATGAATGACAATGAAGTTAGTCAAGTACTAGACAGTTATCCACTTCTTTTTTATATTTAGGTCTGTGCTTTAGAAAGACAAAGGAGGTCTGTCTGACTCTACTTCCTGTGGCGATGCGGTGCTATGTGGGATTGTTTGGACCAGACTTCTTTGCATAATTCAAGGAAGCTGATGAATTTGGATGATGAGTTGATTAGATTGCACTGCTTAGTTAGACTGCTGAGCAGGAGTCACACTGATCCATGAAGATTTTAGATGGTATATTAAAAAGGTAGATAAATTAATGAAAGGCATGCATAGACAATACTCGAGAGGTTTTATTTATTTGTATTTTTCACTTGGTGAATGAACTGTGTATGCGGATGCTAATGTATGCAGAGAAAAAATGATAAATGGTCTGTTAATGCATTTGGCAGCCATATGTCAGATCAGATATATTGCAGGATGTCGTGTCTGGAAATCAGTTACAAGAGCGATTCAGACATGTCTGAAGATGCTTATTTGGATTATAATTGATACAGTGCAGTTAGTGATTGAGTTTAGTTACTCCTCAAGAAAATGCCATAGAACAAACATGTAAAAAAATATACACACATTTGCTTTGACAGTTTCTTTTTCACAAATAGATACACTGCTGAACATATTCAGGTCCAGTGTTTATGGAACATCTAGTGCAGTTTAATATTTTCAGTATCCAGGGATCTTTACTTGTGTCCTCAAGCATACGGTGTGCTTTCTTTTGACTTATCAAATCTGTATTTCTTTTCCCGGCTCTCTGTATAATGTGCATGACAATTTAAAAAGAATATACCAATGTGTTTTGGTTCATAGGCATGCCTGGACATACACCCATCAGGCATAACATTATGACCACCTCTTTAATATTGTGTTGGTACCCTTTTTGCTGCCATGTAGCCCTGACTTGTCATGGATTCCACTGGATCCCTGAAGGTATGCTGTGGTATCTGGACCAAGATATTAGCCTCCATGGATCAGGCTTGTTTGATCATCCCACAAATGCTTGATTGGATTGAGGGCTTTGAAATTTGGAGACCAAGTAAATACCTCATGCACCATTCCTGAACCATTTTCGCTTTGTGGCAGGGTGCAATGTCCTGCAGATTAACCTCAGTGTGTGAGCTCAAGGAATGCCATTTCACTGAAAGGGTGTACATGGTCTGCAACAGTGTCTAGGTAGCTGCTACATGGAAAGGTAACATCCACATGGATGGATCCAAGGTTTCCCAGCAGAACATTGCCCAAAGCATCACCCTGCCACTGCCGACTCGCCTTATTCTCATAGTGCATCCTGGTGCCAGGTGTTTTGTGGGTAATCAATGCACACAAAGTTGGCCATCCACATGTTGTGAAAGAAAATGTGACTCATCAGACCAGGCCACCTTCTTCCATTGCTCTCTGCTCCAGTTCTGATCCTCACTTTCAGTGGTGAAGAGGGGCCATAATCACCCTGACTGTTTTGCAGCTATACAGCCCCGTACACAAGAAACTGTGATGCACTGTGTATTTGGACACTTTTTAATCAGAAATTCGCATAAACGTTTTCGGCAATTTGGGCTACAATAGCTCATCCGTTCGCTCTCCACATGCATTAGTGAACCTTGGCCGATAATGACCCTGTCACTGGTTCACCAGTGTTCCTTCCTTGGGCTGCTATTAATAGATTGTGACTGTGAACACCCCGCTGACCCAGTCATCTAGCCATCATAATTTGGCCCTTGTCAAACTCACTCAAATCCTTAAACATGTCCATTTATCCTGCTTCTAACGCATCAACTTTGAGGACAAAATGTTCAATCGCTCCCTAATATATCCAGCCCACTAACAGACGCCATGATGAAGAGAGAATCAGTATTATTCACTTCACCTGTCAGTGCTTATAATGCTATGCCTAATCGACGCATATTTATTCATGTATGTGTCATCTCTATAGGTATGACCGGGAAGGCTTTGCAGTCAACAGCCAGTCGCTGACAGAGACCAGGTCAGCAGGCACAGGATTAAACATGAACTGGAAAACACTGAGCGACATTAAGAATGAAGACATGGGCCATGGAGAGAAGGTGACGTCAACACATGCAAACATACTTACATACACATTGCATTACCTTATTTCCAAAGACATTATGCATTTAGATTTAAAAGGGAAATAAAATAAAGATCACTGAAGGTTTACTTTACCCAAATAGCAGCCAATATCAGAATAAATTTCAGGAATGGGGTGGACGAGACTAAAGTAAGATCCATGGACGCCATTAAAATGTTCTTTACAGTTAGGATTAGGTGACTTTGTTTTACAGTCTTTGATTGTTTTATGTTTTATTAATTGTTTTATGAACCACAAGCAGCTATAGTGCTTGCTACATTGAATGCACAGTGTGAGATCTGCAGTGAATCTGATCAAAATTAAACCACAAGGTGTTAAACAGCAAAAGGGTAAATCTTGATGTTTGTGTTGTAGTTTTAGTTTGATTTCTGAGTCAGTTCTTTATGAAAATCTTGGTAGGAAGCAGATTGATATGTGAGTCAGAAAATCCTTCTCTCACTCAGGCAGCTGGCTACTGTTTGAAGAGGAATGAAAGAGACCCTGTGCAGATGATGTAACATCAGCATAGCTACAGTACAGCCAAGGTTGATAACAGAAAATCATTCCAGCGTTGTAAGACAAGCACTGTAAACATTGAGTTTTGGCACCAGCCCCCAAAAATCAAAGAGTTAAAGCTTTAATGCTTTGAAAGTTTCCAGTCACACAGGGACAAATCCATCATGTTGACGGACTTTGACGTCAGGAGTGTAATGCTGTTTTTACATTTTTTATTTCTTAACTTTAACTTGCTTGCTCTTGTTACCTTCACAGTGTGGATTGGGCTTTCTTGAATTACGTATACAGCTGCGTCTGGAGAAATTAGAATATTGCAAAAAAAGATTGTGTTTTGTTTCATATATTCTGTATTCATTACACATGAATTGAAATAAATATAGTGATATGTTTATTTGGGCGATTACAGTTTTTAGGTCACGAAAATCCAAAATGCAGCATTACAGAAAGTGTATCCTTTGGTGTAGTGTAGTACATTCAACTGCAGTCACTTGGAAAACTGCTGACTTAGCAGTTTTCCAGATGACAATGCTTGACCCTTCACAACGAGAGTAAGCTACATAAGGTTACTGCTGAAAAAGCTGGCTGTTTGCAGAGTGGTGTACCAAACCGTATTAGTGAAAAGTTCACTGGAATGGGATGACCATAGCCTTCATGAATAGTCACAAAGAGTAGT